GTAGAAGTCACCTTGGCGCCAGCTGCCCTTTGTTCGAAACTCTGCCCCGAACAGAGCCCAGCGCTTGTCGAACAATAAGAAAAATGAAAGCCGAAGGAGTCTTAAGCTCAAGTTTTAATTTCATTTAACTTTTACCAGTAAATAATACGTACACTTATATATGCACATATGTCCGTCTATGACTTACGAGTATTTTTCTATCGTTTCATTGCAGGTAAGTCAACCGAAAGGAGACCAAGAATAAGAAACAGATTGAAGAGCAGTTCTGCTGCTGCTGCTGCTGCCCCTCTGTGGCAGGTAGGTGGCTGCCTGGCTCGTTGCAGCATTAAATTGAAAATGAAATTGAATTTCCAACGAGTTGGACTATCATAAAAGTTAGCTCTGCCGCGTAGCCCTGCCCCCATTTGGGGCTCGGGAAGATACAAATTTATGAGAAACTTTTTATGCTTCTTGCATATGCCACGCAGCAAGCAACAACAACAGTCGCTTAGGAATAATGGAAATGGAAACTCCTTTCAAATAAGCAAAAATGGGGGAAAAGTCTCTGGCCAGGTGGAAAAGCTGCTGGGGCTGCGGTTCGTTTTGAGTGGCAGCCTTTGTGACCCACGTCCGATAGCAGCCTTCTATCCCTGCCTATCCTTTCCTTTCCCTCATACGAGTGGTATATGGTGTACATAGGTATTTACCCTGTCCTGTTGTGTGTGTGTGCACGAGCTCTCTTTTGGCCGGTCAGTTGGCAGTCTGTTTTCTTGGCTAATAAACTGCCAGCAAGCCACAATGTAAGCACATTGTGTGCGTTGCAGGTCTGCTGGCCCGTGTGTCCATTCGAGATTAAAATTCATGAATTGAATTTTCGTAGGAAATGAATTTGCCAGCACTGATGAAATCCACTAGATATTAGGCCACAAAAACATGCAACTTTTGAAGCGAAGCGATTTTAAGTGGGTTTCGATGCCCATATATTTGGGAAATTCAAAACGATTGATTGCCTTAAATATTTATGGTGGTCATTTCCCAAGAACTGTCTCCTTTTGTTCGTATATTTTATTGATTTCTGTTTTAATCGCTTTATGTTTTATGCCCTTGAATACTGTGTAGATTTTTCTCTCATAAGTAAGCCGATCAAACAACAAAACGATTATGTTTTCCATGTGTAAATGCCTGCTGCCTTTAATTTCTTTATTGCTTGATTAAATCCCCCTTTCATTCGCAATCGTGTTACCTCTTTTCAACTTTTTCCAAGAATTCAATTCGATTTGGCCAATTCCTTTAAGCCAAGGTCATGGACTGTGCCCCCAGCCTGTGGTGGTGGTGGCTCGTTTACTCGGTCACGTAGCGGCCACAAATCGTGCGGCGATTTTGAGACAAAGCCAAGAGCCAAGTCCCTAAGCCACGCCCCTCGTTTGCTGCTTTTTTGGATACCCCATGGTCGACGGTTGGGCAGGGATGTCTCTGAATGAATGTCCCTTCGAGACTACATTTTTCCCCCTCTTTTTGAGAACTCTTTCCAGTTCTTTTTCCCAGATATATTGCACACCATTTACTGGCTTTGGTTCCCGAAAATTAAATCCGATTACCAGGTATCCCACAGTCGATATCTATGGCTAAAAATCCTTTTTTCTAGTGTCTTGTTTTGCCGAGGCTGTTGTCGTCGGGCCGACCCCGTCCTTTTGGCTTTCAATTTATGGGCGCTGCAATATTTTGCAAATATCCGTAGCATATCCTGCGGCGACAGCGCAGACAGCATTGCAATAAATAGTCAAGTGTTTGACTCGGCTTCGGGGGGTATCCTTTTGTGTGTGTGTGTTCTTGTGGTGTCTGTGTGGTGTCTGTGTGTGTGTCTCGATGGTGGAGTGTCCTTCAATTGACATATTACACTTGTTGTTGGCCCGCTGTTCGCGGCTGTTTTGTCTTTCGCCCTGTTACTGGTTATGGCCCTCGATTTGTCTTGTCCGTCACGGGGCCCCGGGATTGCCTGTTGGTGTACGGCTGAGAGATACACGGCTCTGCTCTTGTCTGGCCTCGAGCGCCGGAGCGCCGGAGCGCATGGCCGATCAAGCGTGGGACCGACAAGTTGAACGCATTGACAGGGACATGGACAGTGGCCCCCCACCCCCCCAATAGGCGGCTTAATTGATGTTCTGGCTGGCAGACAGCAGCTGGTGCTTCTTTCCCAAAAGCAAAAAGGGTTAAGTGGCTCATTTAGCTTGTGGTTCAATGGGTTTTTCGTTTCGGCATTTTGGCTAATTTGGTGAAACGATTTTTAACTAATTAGATTTTGAAATAATGGAAAGTCCTGAAAGGATTAAAAAGCATTAATCTAAGAATAATAATACGTACTTTTTAAAAGAAAAAAACAGAAATCGGTATTAAATATCAATAATTTAAAGCTAGAAAAATAAAAGTCATCGAAAAAACCGATACAAATCGATAAAAATAGATATATACTCAATTTCGATATTAATCGTTTCTTAAAAGTCGTTTGAAATCGATAACCAACTCTACCAGTGATCGGAATGCACACAATCACATGTCTAGAAGGCCTTTTGTGTGCGTAGACAGCAGGCAAAACAGACTGTTATACACTCAGCAACTGTTATACATGTATGCGTGAGCGACAGAGCAGCAGCAGCACACCTTTCCTATGCGCTAGAGGGACTTTTGAGAGAGGACCTTGCCCATACCTAGCTACACCCATTAGCCCCTTCGTTTCCAGGAGAAGAGCCAACGGAGATCTCATTCAACTCAAGTGAAATGAGAGACCCAGACATATATAATCCCCTAATCCGAAAACAACGAAAATAATTCCACATTCATTAATATTAAAGCTGAGACAGGAAGTGGGAAGCCCGGGCGAACAATCATAAATTACTGGAATCCATTGCATGCCCTCAGGCGCGGCTGCGACCGCATTACTCACATGCCTTGACCTTCCCGCGCTTTGTTCTTAGTGGCCAAAAGGCGACAAGGAAATTTCATCAAATTTGCATAAATTCCGCTCAGACACAGAAAACGCACAGACATTTTTCGAATGCTAAAACGACAAAAGCCAGAGACGCACACATCACACATAAAATTTTATTGGTGTTTTGAGAAGGGAAAAGTTGGCAGCTTCATTGAATTTTCCACCGACCAACAGAGCAGGACTTTGAGGGATAATATATGCAACTTTTTTTTCCCTCTCTCCCCCTCTCTCTTCGATCCTTTTATGGCAATGGCCTCTCAATTGGCTATCAATTTGGCTTAGTCTGTGCGGACCAACTTCTTCTTTCAAGTGTCAGCGACAGCCATAATAATAAAAAGGAGAGAACAAGAAGAAGAGAAAAAGGCTTAAAATCAATTTTCGTTAAACCCTTTTGAGGGCACACTCGCATGGACATAAAACTGATTACCAATGGCCCGAACGTTGGAAATTTTTTAATTAAAAACAGTTAAAACTGGCGCCATCCTTGCCACTGCCCCTGCCCCTGACACTGTCTGCGAAATTTATGTAGCCAGCAGCCCAGCAAAAGTGGAAGGAGCAGAAAAACAAAGCCAGAAAAGTTATACGACCAAGGGATACCCCTTGGATTTGTGGCCCCTTCTGCCCGTTGGCCCAACCAATATACCCCCTCGGCTCAGTGTTGGGGGGGTATTGAAAAATGGCGGCTGCCAGTAACAGAAACACACGCGCCGCACAGACCAAAGGCACAGACAGTGGCAGGCAGGCAGGCAGGCAGGTTAAAAGGCTGCCAAAAAGGATGCTGCTGCAGCCTCGAGCGGTGCGGCACTTCTGCCTATTCTGTCAGAGATTTTCCAACATGTTTGCTACAATTTGGTTAACTAGCACAGAGGCTTAAGCACACATTTGAGTCCTCCCACCTTCTTGCTGGCCTGCTCTCCGATGTCGGAGCGAACAGAAGCCAGACAGTGCGACGACGATGTGTCCTGCGTTGTCCTGGCAATGTCGAGAGGTGTTCTTGCCATAATTTGCAACTCAATTTCGCCCACTTTCAAGTGCAGCAACAAACTGGAAAGTTCGCCTAACGAAAATGTATTTCCCGCTGGACTCAAATGTAATCTAAACTTTTTAAGTATGTTCCACCAAAAAACATGATTTTCTTAATTTTTTGTTGGAAAACTTTGCTTCTATTTCAAAGATTTTGCAAGCAGCGCTAACAGAGTTTTTCCAGTGAATGTTGGGAAAGTGTAGGCCGGACCATTCGTTTGCTTCAGTGTAGCGAGAAGCCCTCTGCCTGTTGTCTTTGACTGTTTGCGCTCGGGTTAATTTTCAGGCACTCGGCTGTAATTTCCCTGCCATATCCGCTTGCTGCTGCTGCTGCTGCTGCTGCTGCTGCTGTCCCTGGCAGTGCCATCAACTGGCAATCATTGGCCCAACTAGGCAGACACCATCCACTCGCATTCAGGGCTGTCCTCCCTTGTGCCGAGGCATCAATGCGTTAAGTTTCCACCGACAGATGGCAGGCGGTCCTTGCAAAACGCGAAACTATTTGAATGCGGCAACAAATTGAATGAGAACGATTGTTGGCACTTTTTCCCCGTTTCGTAGTGAATGGGGAAAAGTGCCTTTCCCTCTACCTATGCGGGGCCCTCCCTGGCATCCGGGGCACTTCCAGTTCTCTGTCTCTAGTGGAGACAATTTATCAAGTTTGTTCACGTTCAAGTGCAGGACAGGGCTGTGCAGTCTGCAGTCTGCAAGTCGCTGACAAAGCGGGTCGGATCAAGCACGGATTTGTAAAGTGATACGGAGGCATGCGGATGCAGTCGTTGTCGCAGCGGGCGGGATGACACTTACATTTATCTGCCATAACAGAGTGTCGTAGGAGTCGGGCGACTGCTGTTTTTACACACTTTGAATAGTCGAACAGCATGTGGGGGTCCAAACGAATGAAAACTTGGAGGAGCAGGAGAGTGGGGGCTAGCTGAAAGATAGATTGATGATTGTCGATTAAAACTAATTTGTAAAACTTGTCCGAATCCCAGAAGATTCATTGTATCCGTACGGAGAGAGACTGCAAGAGAACTCCGATTATTTATTTGAAATCTTTTAATGCATTTATCTCCTTACACATTTATTAATAACAAAAGTCCAACAATGCCATTACAAAATCAAAGGGAAACCCCGCATTCCTTGCCTTGAAACGGGAAAACCCTTGACAAAGGCCATCCATCAGCGCCCCTCGACGTTTCCACTTGACAGATCTACTGGTGGAGGAAATTAAATTTCCAAATCCCAGCGGCCACATTCAACCGAAGCCGTCCTGGCCGCCAACTGTTAATGACATTTAATCTGATGTTCGTTTTATTAATTAATTAATCAATCAATCAATCAGCAAACAAGCAGCCATCCACCCAGCCACACAGCCAGACACTGGATCTGGAACTGGAGCTGGAGAAATCAGTCAAAAGCGATGCTGATTGATTTTCACTTTGGTCCATTTGTGACGCCACAAATTGTAGAATAGCAACGCCACTAGCACCACTTGGGCCGACTTGATGAGCTGCTTAACGAAAGTGCGTCGCTGTTCGCTGGAAGTATTGCCAAAAAGTGGTAACAAACACAAGGATAATGGTTAATGGAAAGCAGGCACTCACCTCATTACCGTCGAGCAGCGTTCGCTTAACACCAGACCTCCTCTCGGCGGCAGATTGAGCTCGAAGGCCACCGCCAGAAGGCTTTCGCTGAATTATTCAAATAGTTTATATTTAATACCAGAGACCAGCGAGCAGCGACCAGAGACATGAACGAGACACATTCAGTGAGTGAAACGCAGCGGGGCAGACAGAAATAAGTATATCTCTTAATCCGACGAAAGCCTCGGGCTCTGGCATCTCCTGTGCAACGTGGCGTATGGGCAATGATTAAATGTTTAAAGCCTTAAGCACTTTTCCATGTTCTGTGGAGCATTGTGGAAATTTTGATAGTGAAAAGTGCACAAAAAACTATTAAATTTCATTTAAAAGCTTACGAAATTCATTTTTATCCGTTTTTAATAATTTTTGCATTTTTTTGATAAATGAATTATTTAAGTACTTAAGAAGAAAACTATGTCGAGCAGAATTTTTTGTCCAGAACAGGAATATATTTAAATACTTTTGAATTTTTATAGAATATTTCAAAGGAGTGCTGAAACTTTTGGTGAATTTTTGATTGAATTTTACTCAAAAAGTCTAAAAATTCTCCCATCAAAAATCTGCATAAATTAAAGCAGCTCTCTAGCAAAGAAGAGCATCATCCACCATCAATTTTCCAACAATTTCAGACTATTAGACAGACTCTTATCTAAACAAGTTGTTCGGGAATTTTCTAGGAGGCAATCAAAACTTTGCAACAAGCTATTGAACACCCTGGAAAAAGTTTGCGGACGATAGTTGCAATTCACAAACATTTAATTCAGTTATTAAGCGACATTTGCAAGAACTTTTTGCATCCGAGAGAAATGGGAGAGAAATGTGCTACATAAATCTTGTTCCGGCTCCGGTCCGTCCTTCTCCACGTACTCGTGCATGAAAAATTACACTGGTCAAGCGAGCATCAGAATTGAATTGGCAAAGTCCTGGGCAAAGTGCCAGGCAAAATGCCGGCAACCGGCGACCGGCGACGATGTGGCCAGTAGTTCCGGCTGGGAACCCCCTGCCCTTCATTAGCTCCGAATTCAATTCTTGCTGGGCCCCCGAATGGAAAACACACACATCGCTGGCCGTAGAGTCATTAATTTTCCACCCATTTTGTATTCAATCGCGTGACATTTTGAACTGGAAATGCAATTAAAGAGGAAAGTTCTCCGTCAACAGCAAAGCGTCGGTAATTCCTAGACGAGTCGGCAGACGAGACCCTCGTGCGGAGCCAGGGACAGGGCGATTGCGGCCAGGAATTGACTGAAGAAGCAGGGAAATGGAAATGCATGAGGGGGGAAGGAGAGAGCGGAATCAATGTTCTTGTTCATTGAACTTACCCCGGCTGATACGCGGACTCCACGCCAGCCACTTCCACGACCAGTTTCTTGGGCTGATTGAGGAACTCTGAGAGATTGACCAACTGCTCCTTGTCGCTCACATTGATGACGGTAATTATCGAATCAAAGTTGGCAAACGATCTAAATAGAATCCATCTTTCATTTGGGTCTCGTATTGGCTGTTCACGTACCTCTTGAAGGCAAACACCCAGCGGGAGATGGGCTCGATGGTGAAACGTCCCAGCCGCATAATGGCCGATTTCCTCAGCTCGATGAGCGCCTTATAGACCTTGTAGTGGCTCTTGGGGGCTGCTTTCTGGGCCTCCAAATTGAGCTCCGGATAATTGGGATGCACTGGCAGCCAGGTCTTGGAGGCCTCGGAGAAGCCTGGAAAAAAGGAGGGGAAAAGTATAATTGAAATACAAAAGAACAATCCTTTTCTTTACCCGCATGGCTGGCATTGTTCCATTGGAATGGTGTACGCTCTGGATCCCTGGACACGTTCCTAAAGAGCTGCTCTCCCACATTGCGGGCAGGCGGATCCACTGTGTCCTCCCAGGGCATGTCACGATAGTCCTCCATGCCCAGCTCCTCGCCCTGAAATACGACCAGAAGATAGCCCCACGAGTGACCTTTGGAGAGCGTGGGCACAACTCACATTGTAGGTGACGGCAACGCCGGGGAGTGTCATCAGCAGCATGTTCATGGCATCCACGGCGGACGGACCGAAACGGGAGGCGACACGGGGATTGTCGTGGTTGCCCATGACCCAGTTGGCCGCGTGCCCACGGGGCATGTAGATCAGCCACTTCTCCACATTGTAGACAAAGTCACGCGCATCCGAGTCGCCATTCACATCCGTGATGAAGTGGAAGTTGAAGGGCAGCTGCGAGCCCCGGACGCCGTTCCGGTCCTCATAGTAGTCGGCCAGAGTCGTGAGTCCGGCATACGCCTCCGTCATCATGATGCGCGTGGGGCCCTCGGGATGTTTGGAGCTGAAGTCATCGAGCAGCTGGCGCCAGTGCTGGACCATCTCGAGCACCTCGGGCAGATCCTTGGTGTAGATGTGTGTGGTGTAGTCGTAGGACAGCGGGTCGTTGGTCTTTCCACTCAGCGGCTCGTCCTCCAGGGACTCCTTCTCGAACATATGATTCACCGCATCGATGCGGAAGCCGGCCACGCCCTTGTTCAACCAGAAGAGGATCACATCGTCCATGGCCTGGACCACGGCGGGATTGCGATAGTTGAGGTCCGGCTGCTCCTTGGTGAACTGATGCAGGTAGTACTGCTGCCGGCCCTCGTGCCACTCCCAGGCAGACCCATAGAACACCGATTGCCAATTGTTGGGCGGCTGCCGGTCCCCGTTCTCGTCGATCTTCGGATCCACCCAGACATAGTAGTCCTCGTAGCCGGGCTCCCTTGCCGCCGACTTCTTGAACCACTCGTGCTCATCCGAACTGTGATTGGGCACGAAATCCAGTATGACCTTGATGCCCAGCTCGTAGGCCTTGTCTATCAGCTGCTCAAAGTGCTCCATGGTTCCGTACTCGGGCTGTATCTGCCGGTAGTCGGATATATCGTAGCCAAAGTCCACCATGGGCGACTGGAAGATGGGGCTCAGCCAGGTGGCCGTGATGCCCGTCTCCGCGAGATACTGCAGCTTCGACGTGATGCCCGGTAGATCTCCAATGCCATCGCCGTTGCTGTCCTTGAAGGATCTCGGATAGATCTGGTAGAACACCGTGTGTTGCCACCAGTCTATGAAGTCCTCCGCATCGCTCTTCACCAGGCTGGACATGCTGGATCCCTGACACAGCAGCAACGCCAGCAGTAGACTAAAAAGAGGGATTCGTATTCGGATGAGTGGAGCGTACATTTCAGGCCGCGTTTCGTTTTGTTCTGTCGAGCGCAGCCGCCTTTTGGTTCACTTTTAAACCGATTTCTAAGCCAATAATTAAAATAATTTTCCCATTAGATTCCCGGTTTTTTGTTAAATTATAATTATAACTAAGCAAATTGTTTGCACTGGCTATAATCGGAGGGCGTCGCATTAATGGAGTGCCACCTCGCGCCAATCTGCTTATCATCCGAGGCTCAAACCAAAACAAATTGCGAAACAAATTAAATGAGTAAACAAATGTCACGATTCGCTGCACTTTAGCCAGTCAATGTATTCCACAGATTGGGATGAGCTTTGGCTTTTTATAGAAATCTTGATACAGAATCTCTTCTGTCTTTGCTCACCTCAAAAAAGCACAAATTGGAATAAAATTAAACACGTTCTTGCCTCGAGCAGCTGCCGGCTATTAACAGAAAGCTTTCAATAGATCATCAGATGTGATCTGCTCTGCTGCCAGCTGATCGCAAGCTTTCCGTCCACAACTAGAGCAGAAGGGCAGGGCATGGCATGGTGTCGGTGATGGGTGAGGTGGCGCAGCACTTGGAGGTTACTCTTCGGCCCAACGTTGGAGTGAATAATATTTGGAGGAAATTTTTTAATCAATTTAAGTTTCGAAAAAGGATAGGTAGGATAGATAGTATTTAATATATGGTAGAACTATCAATCTACTGTAAAATGATTATTTTCCAATTTCATAACATTACCTGTAAAGAAAAGTGAATTTTCCTTGATGTTTTTTTATAAACTAACTTTATGCATATCTTCATATATCTGAATAGATTCAACCAACTTACCGATTTATATGAAATATTTTTGTTTGCATAGATTTAAAGGCTATTTATTAATATTTTCAAAATATTACAAAAAATGCCTGTATTAAAATTACTTAATTTCTTATGAAAACTGTTAAATACAACATTCTGACGTCACTCAGTCGTTCTCAGCGCCGACGCTTCTTCGGACCACCTGCTGATCCTCCACCCTTCGCTGCAAACACCTGATTGAAAGCATACAATCCGCAAACAATTAACACGCCTATTGAAACAGTTGAAGAACCGCAAATATTATATTAAAACGAGGCCCAAGCGCCTTTGCGAGTGTTTCTGCAATCACGGAAAGGGGAATTTTAATTAAAATCAGCGACAATAATTCAGAAAACACACAGCAGGGGATGCCGGCGCCGCACCGCGCCGCAGCGTTGACATTTTTGAGTCTCTTTCGGTGAAAGTGCGACAAGAACGAACACGTACCGAAGGGCAGACAGCCCAGAAAAGTGGTCTTGCTCTGGCAATTGCTTTGCTCTCCCTCCCTCTCTCTCCCCCCTCTCTCTCTCTGCCTCGCTTTAACTCAATTTAAAATTGTTTCTAACGCGCAGAAATGCAAATGTAAATGTGTTTTTGCTGTCAAATGGAATGGAAACTCAAATTAGATTGGCCGCTCGAGATACATATTAACGAAAACGAAAATAGAAAAGCTGCATTACTCGTATAATTAATGAAATACAACAACATTATACAAGTATGTTAATTATTTTCGCTTGCTCAGCTGAATGACCAGACCCTCGTAGGGTGCCAGAGCGATGGCCTCGGGACTGAGACGCTCGCCCGCACGATGCTCGGAGTCGACACCAGCGACGAGGACATGCAGCCGATTGGGCAAATCGATAAAATCACTAATGTCCACCTGCTCCGTCTGGTTCTTGACGTTGATGATGGTCAGAAGAGTGTTTTGGCCCTTGATCTCACTGCAAATGAATGATTATGGCTAGAGAACTGTAAGGGACTCTGTCTTCGCTTACCGCTTGAAAGCAAACACCCTGCGATTCACCACCTCAGGTATGAAGGCACCGTTCTTCAGGGCCGACAGCTGTCTCAGTTTCAGGAGCGACTGGTAGACCTTGTAGTGACTGCGCTGGGCCTGCTGCTGGTTGCGGAGATTCAGCTCCTTGTAGTTGGGATGGACGGGCAGCCAAGTGGCGCTGGCATTGGAGAATCCGGCATTGGCCTCGTCGCTCCACTGCATGGGCGTGCGCTCAGGGTCGCGGGAGATCCACTTGTAGTTGTCGATGCCAGCCTCACAGGCGGGTTGGTCCACAGTTTCCTCCCAGCTAATGTCACGGTAGTCGATCATGCCCAATTCTTCGCCCTAGAGGTAGAGAGACACGCCTTTGAAAGAGATCTCCTTGGAGAGATAGACGCACTCACATTGTAGGTCACACCGATGCCAGGCAGCGTCATCATCAGCATATTCATGGCATCCACGGACTGGGCACCAAAACGCGAGGCCACACGGGGATTATCGTGATTGCCCATCACCCAATTGGCCACGTGTCCACGGGGCATGTAGATCAGCCATCGCTCGATGAAGAAGACAAAGTCCGCCGCCAAGGAGTTGGCATTCAGCTCGGTTATGAAGTCAAAGTTGAAGGGAAACTGTGGTCCCTGAACGCCCTGCGCATCCTCGTAGTAATCCATCAGCTTCGTCAGGGGGGCGTAGCCCTCGGTCATCATAATCCTCAGAGGACCCTCATTTAGGGCCGAGTAGTTGTCGAGGAGCTGTCGCCAGTGCTGCAGGAGGCCATAGCCCTCGTCTTGGTTCTTCGTGTAGATGTGATCGAGGTAGTCGTACGAATTGGGATCGCTGGTGGTGCCGCTCAGGGGCTCGTCCCGCTGCTGTATGTCCTCGTAGATGTAGATGATGGCATCGATGCGGAACCCAGCGACTCCTTTGTTCAGCCAAAACTGCAGAGTGTCGTCCATGGCCTGGACCACGGCCGGATTGCGGTAGTTCAGATCCGGCTGGGCGTAGGTGAACTGACGCAGGTAGTACTGTTCCCTCTCGTCGTTCCACTCCCAGGCAGAGCCGGAGAAGACAGATCGCCAGTTGTTGGGCGGCACGCGAGTGCCGTTCTCCAGGAGAGTACCGTTCTCCCAGACGTAGAAGTCCTCGTAGCCATCCTCCCTGGCGATCGACTTGGCGAACCAGGGATGCTTGTCGGAGCTGTGGTTGGGCACAAAGTCGAGGATGACCTTGATGCCCAGCTCGTTGGCCTTCGCTATCAGTGCATCGAAGTCGTCCAGGGTTCCGTACTCCGGGTGAATGTTCGTGTAGTTGGAAATGTCATAGCCAAAGTCCACCATGGGCGATTCGAAGATGGGACTCATCCAGATGGCCGTGATGCCCGTCTCCTTCAGATACTCCAGCCTTGAGGTGACGCCTGGCAGATCGCCAATGCCATCGCCATCGTTGTCCTGGAAGGATCTCGGATAGATCTGGTAGAACACCTCGTTCTTCCACCAATTGTTCTTCTCCTCCAACGCCTTTTGCTCCTTCTTCGACGGTCCGCCCTGCACGAAGCACACAACTAGACCCACACTCACCGCTAGGGCAATTATCTTCCCAAAACCCATCTTCAATTGCTGTAACTTCAGTTGACAACTGAGTTGTCTCTGGGCTTCCCGTTTCACAGCTCTTTTATACCTTTCGGCCGGCCACTCAATTCCGGTTCTGTTTATTCGGCTAGGCACGGCGATCGCCTCTCAAATATTGAGACAACTGTCGGGCATTGTCAGGTATTTGTACTGTTCGTGAAGGGAATATTACTCCATTTACTCTCCGCGTAACCATATAACATTTGAACTTGTTTGTTCATCGAAACTTCTCCACTTCCCCCTCCCACGGGAGAAAATGTGTCACCTTCAAAATGAAAATAAAGGGAGAGCAGATGGAGTGGGTGTAGTACAAGTATTGGAGGATGTTGAAGGATCATAGATGGTGATTGGAAGCTAATTATGGATTCATTTTGGGTTAGATATAAAACAGAAGCAAATAAAGAAATGGAAGAAGCTTTAGAAAGAATTAATAAAAATTTATTCAGTGTTCAAATTTGAGATACAAGTAGAGTGGCACCAAGCGGAAGCTTCTTTCGCGCTAAAACCATCCCTAACGAAGGGCGCTGCTGCATGACGCGCGACACGTTTGATATTTGGTTAGAAATAAGAATAGAAGTTGTACTGGAAGGTGGATTTATGGGGAAATATGAATCACACTGAAGTGAAATATATATTAAAATTCGTATAAATAATTACAACGAGTAAGAGATACTTTTGGCTATTTAGGAGGGCTAAGGATTTCAACATCTAACCATGAACAAATTTTAATTATGTTAATTAGAAAGAGTTCACTAAAAGCCTGCTCCGCCATGGCAACACACTGTAAATTGAGCCATAAGTTATTAGCTCCGCTCCCAATTTCAAAACCGCTTTTCAGAACAAATCCCAAAGCTTGTATTTCCGCCAAACCCAGACCCAAGCCCACCTCCAACCGTCAGCTCATTTATCACGCTGCAATTTCGCTTTCCAAACCGCGAACTTCCGTTGCGTGACCAGGATGTCCAAATGGAACCGTTCCGCATCTCCTATCCCCCCTCCAGTGTCCTAGCTCCCAGCCCTACCGCCATATTTCGAATGGAAGATGAAGGCTGCTGCTGCTGCTGCTGGCAGCTTAATTAAAACATGTTGCCAACATCAAAACAAACCAGTAAGCAAATGGCTGTGATGCCATTGTTAAGCAGCCACATCCACGTGCGGAAATGTTTGCCTCTAGATCCTGTGAGAGTGCTCCTCTGGCCGTAATATTGGCGGAAAATGGTGCACAAATATGTGCAGAAATCTTCACATGAACCGTGGAAAACTTGGCATAATTCAGCTACTTTCGCCGCTCGACATGAAAAGGGTTTGACGTGGGCGTGTCTCGAGTCTTTCCTATATACATATTGGGATTCCTTTGCCGGGGCCAAATCAAAGCCAAGAAAATTTGCTATAATTTCGAGGGCCCCACCCCCGCACCGTCGCTGGGGAAAACTTCAACGAAATTGGTGTTGTCCGGGGATTGGGGAGGAATACCTGACTAATCCTGCGCCTGTCGACCGTCTGTCTCGCAGAACTGTGCCAACTCACTCACCTGTCCCGGGTGGTATCCCCCACCGTTGCTGTCCCACTTTTTTGGGGGCACCTGTCTGTCCCTGTCTGCCTGTCTGTGGGCTTGTCGGTCGGGATGGTAGGACATCAGGGTTTACCTTTCATGTCGCGACTCTGATTGAATTGCTTTCGCTTTCGCGTCTCCTCCGCAATGGAGGAAGGAGCTTCAGCCTTTTGTGTCAGAATATTTTTTGGAATGGGCCGCAAATTCTTTTCGGAGCACTTTTCAATTTGACTTCTGACTCCCCGAGCACGAATAAATAAATACACACAGCCTACATTTTTTATTATGTAAATATTTAATCATATCAAAGTTTTTTCGGGGACACGGGAGGCACCCAGCCTGGCATATTAAAAATCAGTCTCCGTCTAATCCCCGGTAGCCCCAGATATTTACGAATTTAACACACGCGCCTAAACATATGCTACGGGTTTCGGAGTCCGTCCGCCCACCCCCATTTCTCCCACTTATTTTCTCCCATATTTTCCCACTTTTTCCAAGGGGCTTCTGTCCATTGACAACCCTTGAGCTTCAACAAATTTGAATTGGACGGCGTGTTCTCTCTTCTCTTTTTGGTTTTTTTGGGACTTGCTGTTTGATGTTGTCAATACGTTTACGCTTATCAAATACTTGTTATCACAAATCGATTGCAACAACAACAGCAGCAGCAGCATGCTGTCGTTTTTTATAAGTATGTAAATTTCCATATATCTCTAAGATAACAGTGCTCGTATTTTTATTCGTTTTTAGCCCCCTATTTCACCTTTACTATCGCTTTTATTTTTATGGTTTTTGGGGGCAGGTCCTAGAGGCAAAATTATCTGCTTTCAATCTGTTGGATAGGCCCCAAATTCGTGTTGCCTTCTGCGGTTTTCGGTTTATAATCAAATAAACAAACAAAGTATTCGAAACAACATTACGGCGATTATCTCCAGGAATACGCGACAGACATAGAGTGTCTCTTAGGCCTGGTCTATAATGATGTGCCAGCGAGTTATTTGGAGAGGTACCAGATTAAATATTTTGCAGAAGGCATCAAGAATGGGGATACGCGTTGTGCCAAGTAAAGATGATGCAAAGAGAAACATTCGATGAAGCTGTTGGCATGCTAAGACATTGGGATTATTTACCAAGAATTATTAACGATGGTATCGTAGTGGCATCAACGAAAAGGTACAGGGAAAGGCGACAGTACAGCATTGGAAATAATATGTGACATATTTCAAAATAGAATATTGGTGGACGAAATTTGATAGAGGTCGGATCAAATTGGTTGGTGATTGGCTAAAGCCCTTGGTACCAATTAAAACCGACTACAAATGCTTTTTGCGACAGAGATTTGGTTGTTCATCCTTTAAAATCCATACCACAAAACTACAGAAAAATTGGGACGTACCTAAAACCATTTTTTTTTTTTCAGATACAATCATTTTTATTAGAAATAATCACTTAAAAGATATCTCAATCTCTGTTTCTTATTCACTGATGCACACTTTTGATTTGGACTTAGATTTCTGATGGTGACTACGAGTTGTAGGAGGAGCAGCACAGCTCAGGAACTGCTTTGCTCTGCCTGGCAGAGATTATACGTGATTTTATGGAGCATATCCATATCCCGATTTCAGGGTTCCACATACCAGGGTCTGGGTATGCCCGTGCCCTGGAGCGTCTACTTGCTGGCCAGGGAACCTTATTCGGATGCACAATTAGGCGATCCAAGATATTGTTATTTCAATTGTTGCAAAAAAGAAAACAAAAAGTTAGTTAGCAAAAAGATATCCCTTTTCCTATAAACTCCAAGCTGTTCTTGCTCCTTGCCACTCTGTCGCTCTGTTTTCATTTGTCACTCTGTCATCAGTCTGTTTAAAACAATGCTCTGCACACACTTTAATTAGAAAGATGACACCTGTGCTGTGCTGGCTGACAAATCATGATAAAATCCCCATTTCAGCTAATTCGCTATGACTGCTGCTGTCTGCTGGCAGATAAGACCCCGTTCAACCCGCTCGGAGTTATCTTTTTAATAACATTCCGGCTAGCCGAATTCCGTACAGCTGACAGCAGCTTCCCGTCATAAAGCGAACGGTAGTTCTATGCTCCTGGGCCTCATAAAGGAATACTCTGTTATGGGTCTTGTGATTGTTCCTGTTTGCGGCTTCCTGTCTGTGGCAGTGGCATTGTTTGCACCCGATTTTGACGTTTTGCGGCGGCACCGCAATACGTGCGTATTGAAATTCAATTAGTCAAGCCGCTCCGCACAGAGTTAATAAATCACATCGCAGGCAATCAGAAAAGCAGAGGCAAATGGCTGCTGGCAAACGATTAATTATGCATAAATTTGATTGATGTGCGTGCGTCGAATGCTCAAAGCGCCAGAGCCCCCAGAGAGAGAGAGTGTTCCCCTCAGAGTCTCATTCAGAGAGTGCCAATGAAGTCGCACTGAGGTCATGTCGCCGATCCGTTTGATTGACTGAGAGGTGGTGACGCACACGTCAAAGTGGCTTTTAATTAGCATTGGATGGCGCTATTTGCATACTTATATAATACGTTTGGTTCCGATGCGACTCAATGATGAGAACTTGACTGGAATTCAACAAACACAAAAGAGAGCTTTCAAGTGCTTCATTTCGAATGGGGGATGCACTGTAAGAAATAGTTCGAAACTTGGGACATTTTTTAGGCATATATTTGTATGTGTTGTTGGCTTTAAATAGTTTCCAAATGCAACAGCATTATAAAGTATTCTCTGACAGAATATTTGAAAGATGATCAGCCCATTTCGTTTAATTCATATAAAAAACATTGAAATTGTGAAAGTGAAAGCAATCAAAACATATTTCAGTAAACATAGAACATATATTAATTATTTCCAGGGGTCCTTTATCTCACAGCACTTATTTAAATTGGGAAAATTGTCCTCAATGTCTGTCTCGCTCTAGAGAGAGCATCTCTTTGGATTCTCCACTAACAAGGCCCCTCCTTCCTGATATTCAAGTTGCGGCCCAGCTTCTTGTAGTCGCGTTGTGTGCACTCGAACTCGCAGCGATTCTTGTAGGTGACCCCGTTGGAGCCGCACACCTCCGTCTTCACCGTCTTGAGGTCGCACGGACAAAAGCTGGCCGCCGCCGGAGCCAGACACATGGAAGCCAGCACCAGGACGAGGATGGATATCAAAGCAAAGTACTTCATCTTGTGTGTTGGGTTCTGTTCTCTCCTTCCTGGCCAAATGTTGCTGAATTTCTGAGAAGCAGGTTGCCGTTTGCCGTATCGCGTCGAGCGTTCAACCAAGACTGACGCTCGGTTTTGGGTTTTGAGTGCAGGCTGTGTTGCCCGAGTGTATGCGTAAGTTTTTGCTAATTAGTCAAACAAGCTGCTGATTATTTTGCTCACACAAAGAGCCTCTTATCGCCCTGCCTCCCCCCCTTCCCACACACACTTGGGTTGAAAGAAAACAGCAGTACACACATTGTATGTGTACTCGCTCTGTGGCGTTGTGTCAAGGAAGAGCGATTTATGTGCGGGTCGGATGAGAGGTTGACTCTTAAACTTCAGCCACTTGTAGTGTATAAATGCTAGATATCTTAACAAATAGCATGCCCCATAAACGGAAGTTCTAATTGGAGGAAAAACACCTCATTTCACATGGCTTCGGTACTTGTTTACACCACAAACCATATATACGTAATTCTGAGGAAAACTTTTCACAGGAAACGCCAGACATAAATGTTTATTCGAATAAAATCGAGCATTCATGCATGTGCTGTATGTTTACTATTATTTACTAAATATTGCAATTGTTTAATTAACTTTTCAATCAATGGAAACATTTTATGTGCTCTACGTTCGTTTCTGTTTGTAGTCGAGTTTCTTTTCATTGGATATAGGAAACCAAGGTCCCATATGTCGTACCTGGAGGTACATATGTACGTCCCCCATCATCCTGCGCTGATCTCACTCGAAATGGCAGGTATTTTGGGTCCGGGTTCTCCTCCATGAGATTGCAGCTCCATGAAAGCCATCGATGGGGCTACAAAAGCCAAGTAATTCATCTCGAGTTTGTGTGAATTCCATGGGGAGGTGTTTTATTTCTTATCCCCTGGCTTGTGTCTGTGTTTCATTTGCATGGGTCTTACGAGCCTCCAACAATTTACAGGGCTGACAGTTCAGGGCGCCAGTCCCCAGGAAAAACCACAGCACGAGCAGCAGCAACAGACCCAGAGGTATACCTCTCATGGTGGCTCCAAATCGAGAACTATATGAACCTCCAGAGGAGCTCTTAGGGGAATTTCCCCAGGGGCATATATTTATCGCTCGGCTCGTTCTCTGGCTTGAAGCTAAATTAATTGAAATTGAAATTGGAATTAAATGGAAATGGAAATTGCAATTGAAAGGCACACATAAGCTTGACAATGCGAGTGCGGTGTGGTGCGGTGTGGAGCGGCGTGTAAATGGCCTGACAAAAAATTCAGGCTGTCCATTAATTAAATTAGGAGCTCAATAAAAAAGAAAAAAAAATATACGTACCACTGTGAATATTTTCAAATTACATTACATTTGCCACCCACAATTCAAGGGTTAAACTTTGATCGTTGATAAAAGAGCGAAAGATATATACAAAGAGAGGGAGAGAGAGGCAGAAACAGACAGAGAGAGAAAGAAAGAAAGAGAGTCGTATTAAGATAGTGGGAGGCAGAAAAAGAGAGCCAGCCAAAGAGAGACCCAAAGCTTCCAGCCCGGTAGCGTAAAAGCTTAAAGAGAGCAAGCGAAAGCTTTATGAAAGCTCTTTTCGACTTTAAACAAATGCGCCTTTAGTTCTCTGATAAAGCAAATAATTATATACAAAATAAACAAACCCGAACAAACCCATAAATTATTCAATTCATTTGAAGTGAATACATTAAAGACACAAAGTACTCGGAACGGTTTTGTTTTGTTTGCTCACAGATATTCCAGAACGAATCAGCTTTTCTGATTCTGCCTTATAGAGAGCCCAAACAGAACCGATAAGATAAGCATTCAATGCAAGTCGGTCCAGACCCAAATCAAAACCAAAACCAAAGCTCTCAATGAAAGCATTTTCGGCAGGCCAGGCACTATCGAAAGTGTCTACCAAGTGGATTAACCTGAACGAGAGGCAAGACGAACACAATAATATAATGAACCATCGTGAACGAGATATGGAAATCCTACGAACTGGTTCATGCAAAACCAAGAAAGAAAGCCCTTCTTAATATATAACAATGAATAAAAAGAGGGAGCCCGAACCCCAGACGAGGGATGGACTGGCGATATTTGCGAATCTGTAGATCCGAGGTTCAAGTTCTCTGATAAAGCCAATAATTATATACAAAATAAACAAACCCGAACAAACCCATAAACTATTGAATTCATTTGATGTGAATATATTAAAGACTCAAAGTACTCGGAACTGTTTTGTTTTGTTTGCTCACAGATATTCCAGAGCGAATCAGCTTTTCTGCCTTATGGAGAGCCCAAACAGAACCGATAAGATAAGCATTCAATGCAAGTCGATCCAGACCCAAATCAAAACCAAAGCCAAAGCTCTCAATGAAAGCATTTTCGGCAGTCCAGGCACTATCGAAAGTGTCTACCAAGTGGATTAACCTCAACGAGAGGCAAGACGAACACAATAATATAATGAATATACTGATCCGTCGTGGCCGAGATATGGAAATCCTACGAACTGGTTCATGCTAAACCAAGAAAGAAAGCCCTCCTTAATATATAACAATGAATAAAAAGAGGGAGCCCGAACCCCAGACGAGGGCTGGACTGGCGATATTTGCGAATCAGTAGATCCGAGGATCAAGTTCTCTAATAAAGCCAATAATTATATACAAATAAATATACAAAATAAACAAACCCGAACAAACCCATAAGCTATTGAATTAATTTGAAACGAATACATTAAAGACTCAAAGTACTCGGAACTGTTTTGTTTTGTTTGCTCACAGATATTCCAGAGCGAATCAGCTTTTCTGCCTTATAGGGAACCCAAACAGAACCGATAAGATAGGCATTCAATGAAACGCGATCCCAAAACTCTATGAAAGCTCTCTATGAACGCATTTTCAGCAGGCCAGGCAGTACCGAAAGAGAGTAGCAAGTGGACTAACCTCAACGAAAGTCGAAACAAAATTACATTATAATGAAATTCCTGAGCATTCTGGTGGCCCTGTGCCTCCTCCTGGCCCTGGCCATAGCACCCATTCAGGCGGACGATGACTTATCCGCAGAAAAGGACGGCCAGACACTGCGCAAGTTCTGTCCCTGTCCCAGGAACTACGATCCCGTGTGTGCCTCCAATATGGTGACATATCCCAATCGCTGCGAATACGATTGTGTGCGTCGTGAGGCGGAGCGTCGTGGACGCAATCTGGAATTCCTACGCTCTGGTCAATGCTAATCCAAGAAAGGAAACACTCCAGAGTGCAGCTTAATATATAACAATGAGAAATAAAGGATGTTCTGTTCATACGTGTACCAAGTGTTTTGTGTATTAATCATCAATGTGAAATATATATTACACACAGAAATATAGAAATCAGCTTATCAGCAAGAGCATTTGGCATTGCAATTGATAGCAGTCTCGCCTTATCGCACGAATGAATCGTAAATAACGGCACATAAATCAGGCGGAGCGGGAGCCCGAGGCGAGGGCTGGACTGGACTGGCGATATGTGCCAATCATTAGCTCCGAGGATCAAGTGGATCAACGTGGAAGATACCTGTAGATAGCTGCTTCCTCCTCAAGTCTAATCTATGAATGCCATGATTCACCTAAACAATTTGATTAAAATTAGATTGGTCTGGAATAAATGGGAACTGTCTGAGATAACGAAATTGCAGATATTTGCAAAGCTTGCAAAATAAACGTAATAAAAAGAATATACTATAAATGCTGTATTATCTTGGAATTTGAAACCGGGACAGGTACAATCTATACAGAGTGCAAGATCTCGATGGACTGTATCTTTAAGCCTCTGCGGCAGACTTTGCCAATTCTCTTTGTAGTTAGATCTGTAGCTCTCTTTATTTCTGAGACAAATGTTCACCCACTTTCAGTTTCGTTTCATCAGATCGCATGGTCTGCCATCCCTGGTCTAACTTTTTAGTTATCGTCTGGGACTTAGTTGTGCCAACATTTGTCCAAATAGCAGTTGAATCCAAGTCAACACCGCATCGCAGCTAACCAATTGGGTCAACAAGAGAGGCCACAATGGAAAAAACTCTCAAACTCATGTACAAACGTCACATTAGACACGTATTTATTTTTTGTTGTATCATAAATCGGTTATGGTTATGTCATTATTGAGTGCTCAGCATCTTCCCTCTTTGATGAGCGTGATGCTGCGGCCCTGACGGGAGGCCTTGGTGGCCTGGCACTCCAGGTCGCACTTGTTGCTGTAGGTCCTGGAGTCCGAGCCGCAGACGGGCTCAAAGTTGCGGGGACACGGGCAGAAGTCCGCCTCCTGGGCCACGGTGAGCGACAGCAGGGCGAACAGGCAGAGGGCGATCAGAGCAAAGAAACGCATGGCTGATTGTATGATTTGTGTTTTTTTTGTTGTTTAGTGTTTAGAACGCTTCGACTCGACTGGTTAGACAAGACTGGGGCTTTGCCCGCCCGATTGGCAGTCATTTATAGATAACCCGAGCCCCCGAGCAAACGTAACCCGCGCCACACAACTTCACAATACTGTGTTTTCCCCTGTCTCTCTCACAGAGAGAGAGATAGAGTGAGAGCTCGCTGCTCTGCGAGGTGTCAATAATTATTCAAGGCATTAAAACCTCAACCGAACTCTTTGTGTACTTGTTGAAGTTGTTTTTCTGTGGAAAACTGATTGAGCAAACTCTAGTTTTCTTTTTAAGCGGGGACTTTATTCCGCAGCACGTGGCGCGTGTCCATCATTACAAATAAAATATATTAATATGAAAATGTATTTGTTTTGCCTCTGGTTTGGTTGTAGCTCGCCAGCTGTTGGCCTTGGCAACTGGCAGGAAAAAAAACACTGCCCTAGCTTGTCCTAATAAAAGTCTTTCAACGCATAAAAAGCAATTTCAATCTAATCTTCCAGTGCGAGCGAGGGCAGAATTAGAGGAGAATCAAAGGAGAGGATAAAACGCGTACAGGATGAAGCATGAAAAGAGCCTTAAGGAGAAGAGAAAGTATTTTCATTTTCTAAGTTTGATAAGAGGTTTTGGGATGCTCTTTGTTTGGGGAAAATATGAAAAAAAATATTTTAGAATTTATATATTTTTAAAAAAAGTTATATTTATAAGAAGACAATGATTGCTTGTAGAAAATGAAATATAAATTCTTCTTCCTTTCATAAATGAAAAAAAAACCTTTTTCCCACTCAATTTAATTGCTATTTTGTAAAAAAGGCATACCCACAATTTTATTGAAATATTAATATACGAAGGGTGTATATTTCTACCCTTGGATCTATGTATGCTCATATGTAGCCTATAAATTATCCAAAACCACGTCTTTTTTTGATTTAAGAAATTGCAATGGAGGTTTATTCAATTCATGTACGGAAAAGGTTGTAGTTAAAGCGATTAAATATTCAGTAAACTGTTCCCATATTAAAGTCTTTTTCTCCTACACAAAGCCGCAACATGCCTTTGCTTACCCTTTTGGCCCGAAAAACAAAACACAAACACACACAAAAATACACTTTGGCTAAGCCCCACAGCCATAGAAAAGTAGGGATTTCCACAGCAGTGAGACACGACAAAGGGATTTGGGATTGGGACTCACATGGAGAGATACATATGTATAACTATATATATGTATTTCTGATTGCTATTCAGAGACCTGTTGTTGGAGCAGACAAGCCATCAACAAAATCCCCCGTACTAAAGTCGTTTTTGCATATCCCTTTTCAGTGGCCAGCACGCCGGAGAGTTTGCCCAGCAAGCGAGACGAGGCCAATAGTGCCACCGGCAGCAGCAACAGCAGCGGTGTTGGTGGTGGTGGTGCGGCGTCAGGAGGTGCCGTTTGTGGAGCAGCGAGCGGTGCAGCGAGTGGTGGAGCTGGTGCAGGAACAACAACGCCGGGCCACGAAGCCGCCGGCAGTCCCACAGTCTCCGAGCTCGGTGGCATCGGCCCGAATGCGACAATAAATGGTCAAGTGGCAAGTAAGTAGAGCTCATGGCATTTTCTATTTTTTTCGCATTTTGCATATTTCATCCGGTCGGGGACATCGGGAGGTCGCTTAGTCGCTTGGTCGCTTGGTCGCATTATAATTTCTACTTCATGCAGCTGACAGGAGACCGCATAATCCATCTTGCACCAGCTGTCGCGCTGTAGTTGGGGCTTGGACCATGAAAATCTCAGGATTTGAAGGGGAATTCATTTGGGTCGAGTGGAGAACAGGACTGGCTTAAATCTGATTATAGAAATTTGTAGAGAAAGAACAAATATTCTTAATTAGATACGGAATATCCTCATACATGTTTTTGGTACAGTGAAACACGGACGTTCAGGCAGCTGTAGCTAAATCGCCTAAGAATAGATTATTTCAAAAAGGAAACAAAACAGAAATTTCGGTGTCTTTAAAATTCAATATGTAATAAATTATTTACCGATAATTCTTGTTAGATCATAGATAGCTCGATAACTTATCGATGGATACCTGTTCAAATATGAACAAATATAACAGAAATAGTGTTATAGAAAAAATAGAATAATTATATCTCATTAGAGTCAGTAATTGCGTTGATTTACACCCAAAAATTTCATGGAGTTCACACAGCTTGTACAGACTGATGAATCGATAAATGATGATGAATCGATGACGCATGAAAAGATAGCAGATATAATCGTTTTAGTTTGATAACTCAATTCAGATACCGAATCATATCTATGTACATACATCATTTGATAATTTGCTAAACTTTGAGATAATACTTAAACCTCAATTGATATTTGACGTAATTCCATAAGCCATTTGATTCTCCAATTGAGATCAATCAATACGTAATGCCCTACAAAATAGTAGACCAAATTGGACACTTCCCAGTAGATAAGAAAACATAGATCATCTAGATTCGCAGCACTGTCTTAAAGACCCAAAAGACAAACACTTTTAAAATGAAAAATAACCACATTTAATGGTCCACAGTTTCCATTACGCCTCTCACCTGACTTAAACCACCTGGCGTGGCTTGTCGTGGCTTGCCGTGACGTGGCGTGTGTTGTGTTTTCTCGGGCTGAAAGGCGAAGCCCCAGTCATTTTCCTTCCAACTTTGTGCGGTAAAATGAAGCGTTGAACGCCATTAAAGCCGTGAAGAGTCGCCAGTAAAAGCAACATAAAACATTTCATCCCAAAACTTGAGTCGATAAAGAGCCAGCCAGTATCTAGCAGTTAAGGAAAAGGAATCTGGGGTGTAACATAAATTTAAGTGCAGCATAAAGCGGATTTTATGGCTGCCCCTTCACCCCGAGGACTGGAGCACCCGACCTGCACTGTCAAAATAAATGGAATGCAGTTAACGTACCCCAAGCCAAGGCAAGGCAAGCCAAGCCAAGACACTCGGTCCCTCGTTTAAGGCAGGGATTGGTGGATTGCTGGATTGCTGGATTGGAGGCGACTGGGGACCACACACACAGATAGATTGCCAGAGGAGCTGGCGAATCACTCGAGCGCCTTGTGTGTGTGCTCCTCGGTTCTTGACAAACACACACCCGGAGATAAATCCTTTGCCATTTTTCGACACACTCCTGGGCGCAAGGCCTTCCCCAACTTAAGGGAAAAGTAGGAGATGATGCCACTCAGGCATCCATGGAGAAGGAGAAGGAGAAGGCGTTTTGTTCGCTGCTCGTTAAGCATTTTTCCCTCACTTGGGATTAAAATAAATAAGCAACTGTATGCTACAATGCCCCTTAAATGATGGGAATAAATTATTGATTTCTTGTCGATTGCATGCGAAAGATTTTTCGAGCCCAAAAGCCAAAGGATTGAGAGCGGCTCGGCACAGTGGAAGCCAGAAGAGAATGAGAGAAACCCCTAGCACTTGCTAGGGATTTTCCGATGGTTGGGTCCTTCAACCACTGTGCCTCCGGGGCCTCCAGTGCCTTGAGTCGTCTGTTGTATGCTTCGTTAGATCCCAGTAGGAGCCGTCTGTGCCTTAATCAATGTGTCAATAGGGAGAACAAAAACATAACTAAATCAACGGCAGGCAACTAAATCAGTTTCTGAACAACTCTTTCTTTCTTTCGACTTTTTGCAGGACACGGCTCATTGACCATTATTCGACGCACGAACAGCCGAAATTTCTCGCAAATAGACGCTGCACAGCTCACCTCGCCCTCGACCTCGACGACGGCCTCCGGCAGCATCAGCTTCGCCCAGGCACCGCTCAGTGAACCACTTGCAGAGCGTCTCAGCTCCAGGCACCAGGCACAGTCCGGGGCCAACGGATCAGCCCGCTCCTCCTCCTCCAACGAGCAGGGGGGCAGCAGTCAATTGCCAGTCGCCGCAGCCACCAGCAAAATGCAGCCCTCGTCGCCGAACGCGTCAAACTATCTGCCCGAGAATGTGCAGGTCTCGTCGGCCAATCCGTCAACAACCGATATAAACGCCGGTCGCGACTCCTTGGAATATTTCACTAATCAATCGCTCAATCCCACCGCCCATACCTCGATGTCACGGGAGAATGACAATCCGCAGTCGCACCATTCGTACGAGAACGCTTCGAATCTATCGTTCGGGGCGATACAATGGGAAACCGAAAGCCTTCCGCCAGTCGATACGCCAGATGCCCTTAACAAAGCGGCTGGGAGGTGAGTTTTTTCGCTATTTAAAGTGTATATCCTCCTCTGCGAATCAACACTAACTCGATCTTTTCATCCCCAACACAGAATACGTAGTCTTCTCCGCCGCATGGATCACGAGACCGTTGCCTACGAGGACATGCAGCGCAATCTGCATTATGCGGCTCGTGTGCTCGAAGCGGTCTTCATAGACGAATCAAGGTAGGAAAGCCCACCCATGCACCCCTCTATGCACCCCATAAATTCCGAAAAATTTCTTTGGCGGGCATTTTGTCATCTGGATAATTGATCTACCGGACCTTTTTGCTTCAGCTTCCTACGGCTTCTTTGGGGCTCAACAAATTCGGTTTAGGCTTTGTAATGTATTTCGATTCGAGTAGGTTCTAGTTTCAAAATTAACGGAATTGCACTCAAGGCAAGCTTATCCTACCCCCCCAAATAACAACAACCATCCAATCCATCTATCATCTATTCATTTCTAACCCAAATGACCTCCGATGGCGTTTTCCCCCTTATGATTACTTTAGAATTACATAATTTGTTTCTATATGCATACATATATCTGAATACTTTTTCTTTTTATATCCGTTTCCGTTTCGATAACTGTTACTCTCTGTGTGTGTGTGTGTTGTACTACATATACTCCTCATATATTGAGCAGAAGCCCCACAACAGGTAAAACAAAGTTGGGGCAGATTGCGTCTTCATCCGTTGAGAACGAAGAGTAAGTTTTCCCATAGACACAATCTTGTCGCTTTGGTTTTTGTCGTTAACTTTGTTGATTTTTAACTCTAACAT